TAGCTTCGTGACATTTAAGAGCAAAGTGAAGTATAAATGAAAAGATCATGTTTTTTTGCGCTCTTCATCTTGTTTTACGGAGTTATATCTTTAGCTGATTCCAAATTTGCCACCATCTTGACTATTCATATGGGATTCATTCGTGCAATGTCCTTAATCTGTGGCAGATTATGTTGGGAAAAGTTTGCGTGGGCTACTCAAAAGGCGGATGAATTGTTAGTGCCGGTCTTAAATGAATACAACAAGCATGAGGTTGGCATCTCCTACTGTGGCCCTCTCTCTCTCTCTCTCTCTCTCTCTCTCACACACACACACACACACACACAAGCATGTGCACGTGCGCCTCTCGGCTGCAAACTACATACTTGCGTCTCATCCCTGCCACAATCTTTTCCCCATACAAAGAATAGACGAGTCTCCCTTGTATATCTATGGACCATTTGTTAGCACGACCGTTTTACCCATCTAACCATTACAATCAGAATTGCTGAACTTTTTCTTTTTTACTTATTCAATGCAGACCCAGCTGCGATTGGAAGCATTTTATTCTTTTAACGAGAGATTTGCTAAAATCCGTAGTAAGAGAATTAAGAAAGCTGTCAAAGAAATCACTGCCAGCCAATCTTTGGACTTGATGGGTGATGATGCCCAAGTTACTAATGGGAGTGGAAAGAAAAAAAGAGGGTGCTCTGGTGATGTCTCTGATGAAAAACCAACTGGAAATCCCGGCTACCGCTCAACAAAATCAAAGTCCTTGCAGTCAAAGAAAAGAAGGATCCACGGAAAGCCTATTCTTTCTGAAATGAACTTAGATGTCTCAAAACTGGTGGAAAGCAGCGGAGGTGCCAATAAACAGCCTCTTCAGACTGGAAGAGGTAGAGGAAGAGGCCGAGGAGAAATGAGGAGAGGTAGAAAGGCCACTCCCGATAAATCAGAACATAGCTCTAGTGATGGGGATAGTGGTGATGTGGTGCACGAGGTCCAGTTAGAAGAGTGCAAAGGGCAGCAAGAAGTGCGTAGAGTGAGTAGAACATTTACGTAATCTCGATTTGTTTAATTATGGTACTGAATTGCACTAGCTTTGTTATTTTTTTGGGGTGCAATCTATGGTCTGAACTCATGTGATCAGAATATGAATGCTATCCTGCTACTTCGAATGGGCTCTCAGGCGTTGCTCTATAGAAAGTATTGTCCCAGTTAGAGTGAAGAAACTTTGTTGGAACAGGATGGTAACCTTCCAAAGGTGTATTCACTAGGGCTTCTTAATTTCCTGAACTTGACCAACTCTAGGAATCTCAACACCAAAAATAAGCTGGAAACAGCTTGTTGTCATGGCCAAAGCGTTACTTAGGTAGAAGTATTAAACTGTCCTACTTACTTGTGAACCTACATTTTCTCCTTGATAATGTCAAGTCTGACATCAGGTTTTTTCCACACATTCCTCGAAGTACTAATGAATTCATCTGTTGGGGAAAGGTTGGTCTGTTGAATAGTCATGGGATGCCAGAATGCTACTGAGCAATGAGCAAGAGTATGCTAGCATAAATATCAAGCAATTTAGAGAATGTAACTCATCAAGTGTTAAAACGTAGTAGTAGTATTCCATGTAGAGTCAGTGCGCTGTCTTGCATGGAATATGTTGTCCGGATTTGAGCTGCCCACTACTCTGCATTCCTATATTTTAATGAACTTGGTTGTCAGGTATTATACTTGCATGAAAGAATTAAGATTTCTGTGCTTTTTAGGTCCAGGGAGGAGCCCTTTTCTCCTTAACCAATTAGTTTTTGAGTGACCTTGAGATATGGGGTTTAGTACGTTTAAGACAGCTTGAAATATATGTATTTCTATCATCTAGAGCTTCTCTTCCTTTGTTTAAGTTACTGAGCCATTTCTAAGCACTTTTTATTTCCCTGGTTTCGGCGGCAGTCAGCACGCAGTCGGAAGCAGGTGAATTACAGTGTGGAGAATTTGGAGGACAATGCATCAGCGCACTGTTCTGATAAAGACTCTGAGAAAGAGGTTTCCGAATACAACTCTCCCTGTGCTCAGACTGCACGTGGTGACGCCGCTATTTCAGAACTTGAGAGTGAACTTGCACCTGGAAATACGTGTCTTGAGGGGAGTAAAGAAACAGATTACCTTCACATGGGAGGTGGGTTTTGTGAGGATGACGCAGATACTGGTGAACCACAACAGAGACCTGACTCCCCTCCAGAGGATATTTCTGAAGAGCATCTCACAATGGGCGGTGGCTTTTGTACGGACGAAAGGAAGACGAGCAAGGATCCTGGAAGTGCTCATGAAATAGCTACCGAGCCTTTGGGGGAGGGAAATGAAGATTCCTTTGGATATATCGAGCCTGCAGATGAAGCTGAGCTCGAGAGTTCCGTGACTGAATCAATCCTTTTGCGCAAAATGACTTCAGGTGTACCTCGTGACATGGGTGCCAAAGATGTGGCTTCTATGCAGGACGACGGTGCCGACATGGTAAAAGCCACAAACGATGGCCGTGCTCCTGGCGATCTCCAAGAGGAGGATAATGCAGCACATGATTCAGGAATCGCTTCTTATGGATCTCTAAGTGCCATGCCTTCCTTGAGAAGAAAACGGAGAAGAAGCTGAACCTGTAAAATGTGAAGATATTTTATGTACTTAATTAGAGTAATGTGTTGCGGTACGTAACGGATGGATTCCTTGTAATTTTTGTTCCTTGTAACTTTTTGACTTATCATGGTTGTATGGAAGAGCATAGAGCACCTATAGTTCCCGTGATCAGGGTATTTCTTTGGGAGATTGCACGTAACTCCGCGTGCATTTGCGTGTGCGAAGCCACATGGTCCAAAATACCGTTCGATCGGCGAAAGTAAAATGAAGTTCATACCAAGTTGTTCGGTTCATCTCGAGCTGGGCCATGATCCGAACACAAAACAATGGAAGCCTTCCACCAAGAAACGAATCAGGTGGTGGGGGGTAAATCCCATGGACCATTTCGCGTACGCCGAATACTTAAAAACAGACCAATCCCATAAAGGGGAAATGTTAACCGGATTTCGTATCGACAGCTAGAACGTCGGACGCCGAGCGCGGAATTCCAGGTCGGTCTCATCTGACGGTTCGTGAAGATCCTCGTGAACGTTTTTGCTAAAGGACGGCTCATCGAGTTGAATGCTATGAGAGAAACACGCTCTCAGAAATCAGAGAAACGTCACGACAGCAACGACGACAGAAAAGTGGAGTTATAGTGCCGTGGGAGATTCGAAAGCAGAAGCAGGCTTTTGACCCTGTGAGGGTTCCGGGGGAGGGGCCCATGGGCACACCAGAGACGAAATATCTAAACTAGAAAAAGGAAAAAGAGGTTTTTGTGCTAACCTCCTCTCTAACCCTTATCGCGCCTGCGAGGGAGTGTGCGACCCACGTTCCCTCAGATTATGGTCCTCGGTGCAGACGCCCACGTTCCCTTTCTTTTCTTACGCTTGTCATGAAAAGTAAACGACACAAATAATTTCTAAATTTTAACTTAATATATAATGTGATTCCCGAATTTTTAATTTATTCGATGTGATCCATGAACTTCAGTTCGTGTACAAAGTGATCCCTAGATTTTTTGTACATGTTCAACTTAATCCATGAACTGTATATTGTCCTTGAACTTGAATTGACGGAGGGACAACATTGAATATTTTTATACAATTCAATATGTAAGAGATCACGTCGTATATTGGGCTGTTAATACATGAAATCAACATATAATTTATTTATTTTACATGATTTTCGAGTTAGAATGAAAGATAAAAAAAAATACAGTAACCCTTTTCAAATGGGCTCCCACTGCAATTGAATTAAGCAGCCGCGTTGCTTGCGACATGACCTGAATTCCAGTATTTTTTTTTTTTTTCTCTCGGCTGAGAAAACATAAGATGAATCTGGGTGTTGCCACTTTTGCTGGACACAACGCCTTATTTTGTGACTCGGCGGCCGATCTACCAGCATACTCCGTATCCCTCGTCATAGTGTTTTTCTTCCACGGAACGGTCTGAGCTCTTCCTCCTGTCTCTGTTTGAGCCTTTTAAAGTCTTGCTTGGGACCAAAAGAAAACAGAAGATGAACCTGCCTAATAAAAACAAATGGTCCACTAATATTGAGGTAGGACCAACCCCGACATTAAACATCGGATTTTGTCAGCTATAATGATCGATGACCAAGCGCACTTTTCTGTCATGCTGCTTGCTGTTGTACGCCTCTTCTTTTTCTGCCTCTTCTTTTTTTTTTTTGGGAAAAATATTCTTTTGCATAATTTTTTTTATTTGTCCGAACAATTTAATATTGTATTGAATTGGCATGCCGGTGCGCAACTGGCCCAGGTCGAATCCTAACCAAGCGAAAGACAAGTCGTTGCCAATTGGCCTTAAATCTAAAAATCTATTTCAAGAAAGAAAGCAAGCATTTTTACGAGCGTGCGAGAGTTGAACTCGCCCGGCTTACGAAATTTTTATAATGAACTGCTGCGCAGCGCTGCTCGACGATGCTTTTCTTTTTATAAATTGAGTAAGATGCGAGTCGAAATCTTGATCCGTGGCCGACTTTGGGTTAGTTGCCTAGATGGATTATCTTGAAATTAATGACATTTTCATTCATTTATATAAACCCACTTCCCAAGTCAAAGAGGGTGAGTGGGTAGGACACACGCCAAGGGCTCTCTCATAGGGTTTAATAAACATGTCCTGAAGTTTCGACTTTTGCCATGAACGCAACGTCAGACATTATTTCGATGAAAATGGAAGATGCTTGTCAGACTTTAGCACCCATCTCCCATTTGCTCTGTTTTTTTTCCTTTCTTTGCTTGCATGACCGGCTAATCCATCCACAAGATCTTTAACTCCTCTCCTCGGTAATAAAGATGGACAAACGAAAACGGAAAATGAAAATGAATATACAATGCACAAGGGACCCATTATTGCACCCCATTTGGACACTATTCCCCCCATAAATTAAGAAAGAGCCCCTATGGACACTCAACATGAACTTGAGAAAGGCCAATTATTGTTCAAGAATCCAACTCACCAACAATGGCCTGTCCACCCTCATATATGCACTGCCAGATGAAACCTTTGGGGTCATTTGGAAAAGGAAATTTGGAGCTTGAGCAACGATTTTAGTCTGTCGGTTTCTTGTGTCTGTGCCAGAGTCGATTGAGAGAGAGAGAGAGATGAGAGGGAGGTACTGTTACAGGGATGTGCTTCCATTCTCAGCCATGGTGTCCATGGAGTGCATGAACGTGGGGTTGAACACACTCTACAAAGCGGCCACCTTGAGAGGGATGAGCGACCATGTCTTTGTTGTCTACGCCTATGCAATTGCTGCTCTTGTTCTTCTTCCTGCTGCCTTCATCTCCCGCAAGTACACGCACTCTCTCTCTCTCTCTCTCTCTCTCTCTCTCAAAAGAAAAAAAAGAGATGATTTCTGGGGCGAGCTGTTAGCTGACCATTTCTTGTATGATAGCCAACAAAAGCTGACCATTTCTTGTTGATGCTTTTTTGCAGATCAAGAACGCTTCCCCCTCTCAGCAGGCCTGTACTTGCCAAAATTGGTCTTCTTGGGCTCATTGGGTACAACATTTTACTCCACCCCTTCATGTTCAATTCAATGAAGAGTGGTTTCCTGAGAAAGTTCAAGATTCTTTATGCAAATTTCTCAGGGGAAAGATGAAACCAAGGAATGGGTTTATAGCTCTTGAAAATTTGATCAGACCGATTGCCTCTCTTTGTCGTCTCTGATTTTCTTTTTGTTTTTTCGGGTGGAAACAGGAGTTCATCACAGATCCTGGGATACACAGGGATCAATTTCAGCTCTCCAACGCTTGCTTCAGCCATCAGCAACCTCACCCCGGCTTTCACTTTCATACTTGCCATCCTGTTCAGGTTCTTCTTCCCGTCTTGTCAACTTGATGAGATGCCCTTCCCCAGATGAACAAAAAAAAAAAATCAGATGGCTCCAATCAAAGAATCATCCACTACCATATTCTCCGATGCAAATCAAAGGGTCTTAAGTTCTTTCTGCTTTGAAAAAGTTCAAGTGGCAGTTGCCTAGTTCTTTTCAGCAGAGTGCCCTGTCTCATCAAGAGCACTCAACTTTTTTTTTTTGTCTCCCTTGCTTTTTTCTGTTTATGTAATAAGTTGCTTTCGGTGCCTCATTCTCTCTTGAGTCAATGGTGGTCTCAACTTAGCATGAGCTTGTGCCTGCCTAATAGTAAAATTTTCCCAGGCTCGGCCCGGCTCAGTCTGAAAAATCTTACAACTCGATGTCTCTGAAATATTCTGCAATAATGGCCAAGAAGGAGTAAACAATGCTAGGTGTAATGAGACCGGTCTACCAAATTGGCATATCAAGTGACGTGACAGACGTTTTATGGATATTATATATGACCCGCTTGTTTAAAGGCCTGATTGCAATCTACCTCGTCACTTAGTATACCAATGTAGTAGACCAGTCTTCATAATTCTAGCATTTTTCAGAAAGGAATAAGAGCGTCGAGTTTCATTATGCTTTTGTATCACCTAAAGTACTCAACTCAATAGTATCTAAGTGCAGAAGCAATGCTATAAATATAGAGTTAATATTTATGCTTCCTCAAACCTGATTTATTTTGCCTTTTTCCCCTGACAAAAGAATGGAGTTTATATCATTGAAGAGAAGAAGCAGTCAGGCTAAGGTCATTGGAACCATAGTATCAATATCTGGTGCATTTGTTGTCACTCTATATATGGGTCCTCCAATTATTATTGGTACAAAACCTTCTCTCTCGCTTCATCGGAATTTGCACTCGTCGAACATGGACTGGATCATTGGAGGGTCTCTTCTCACAGCTGAATATATTCTAGTTACCATGTGGTACATTGTTCAGGTATACAATACAACTCTGCCTTTCTTTCAGTTTATAATTAGACTCAACATGAGTGAGGCCTCAAGACATAATCTTACAGGCGCAGATAATGAAGGTGTATCCAGATGAACTGACCGTGATTTTCTTTTATAACCTAATCGTGAGCTTCGTAGCTGCGACTGTCGCTTTAATTACAGAACGGGATATGAATGCTTGGAGAGTAAGGGACATAGGACTGGTATCCGTAATATGCTCGGTAAGAGGAAAAATCCTGAGTAGATACTGCTCCGTTTGATTAAGAAGGTGTTTTAACCCTTGCTTTGTGTTTAGGGAATTTTTGGGTCATGCTTAAACAACTCTGTACACGCTTGGGCAATCCGCTTAAAAGGTCCTTTCTATGCTGCACTTTTCAAGCCATTGTCAATAGCCATTGCAGTCGCCATGGGCGTCTTCTTTCTTGGTGACACTCTTCACCTCGGAAGGTAAGACACTGAGAATTGCTAAAAGTAAATTAAATGTAAAATTGCTGAAATCAGGATCTACACTTAATTGCTGTGCAGCGGAAGATAATAACGTGCTTCCTTTAATGGACTTCTAACAGATAGAGAAATGCTGCAATGCAATGCAGTATAAACCGTTGTCATTTCACTTCTTTAGTATAAAGATGTACTGAGATTTCACCAATCATTCTGCTCTTTGTATGCATTATCACTGGGATGATTGAGTAGGCTCTGTCAGTTTTAGATACGAACTCTTTATGGAAAAGTTCGATTTATATTCTTACCTGCGGCTTCTGAAATAACGCTTGTTTCATGTGCTGCAACTTTGCAGTCTCATCGGGGTGACAATTATATCGTTCGGGTTCTATACCGTAATGTGGGGAAAGGCAAAAGAGCAGACTATGGAGGAGGCTGAAGAGAGCCGGCCGGTCTCACTACCCTCTGAGAAGGTCCCTCTACTGCAAAATTATAAGGCGGATGAAGTGTAGATCGAACTTCTGCAGATAGAATGAAGCAACAGACACTGCTCAGAGACTTGTGGCAAAGGATTACTCAGGTATAAATATATGTAGGAAAAGGGATGTATACGTATCATAGTTTTTTAGTCGAAAGCGACGGTGCCACGATGCATTTAAACTGAGAAATGTAGACGAAAGGTCTCAATCCAAGTGTAAAATTGGCATGCGATGTGAACGAAACGGAGGACCACCGAGAGGTAGGTCAAGGGCCTCGATCCAAGTACAAAATTGGGATGTGATGTGGACGAAATGGAGGGGCGACGGATCCTCATAAGTCTCTGTCGCGGAATCCATTTATGTGGAAAGGTTGCTTTCGATTCGAATCATTGCAGCTATCTCTTGAAGGGGAACCAAAATAAGTCACCTTCACATCTTCGTCCGCCAACAAGATTTTTCCTCACCTTGACAATTCAATTATCGAATGGATCCAACCAAAATACAGGCGTCAGCGCAACCAAGTTTATATGTACTCGTCCTCCTTTTACTTTTGTTGAAGCTGTAAAAAACTAAAAATGGAGGATGCAATTCTTCAAAAATAGATTGCTTAATCTTCATGGAAGAGGTCTAAACTTCACTCTCGATGTATGGAGCGCGCTTCATCTATCGCATGTTGATACAGGCTTTGGCTTCTCCACAAAGGCAGAGATTTCAAACCAGGGAGGGTTTGCTTTTTTTCGTCTCCTCAGTTCCTTGCCTACACCTCAGAAATCATCCGCTGACACGAGGCCGATAAGATTGTAGCTGTTGCAGTCAAATGAGCTAAAATTCAATGCAATGACTACAGAGCGATGATGTTTATAGTTTGGTAAGTTTATGCACCTGCGTTGGAAGTTCGTGAACACAATGGTTCGCCCCACTTGAAAATGCTTTGCTCTGTGGTAATTGTGCCGGTAATAACATTACGTGTATCTGTTTCAAGTCAAGTTCCTGGTCTACTAGATCAACAGAAAACAAGCATAGGCATAAGCCCTCCCCTTTTCACATCCGCTCCCTTCCGATCGACCAAAAATTGAGTACACATACAAGGGAGTGCACAGCTAAATAGGTCCCACCCCTTGGCTGATGACACATTAAAATCCGAGGATTAATACCATGGGTAGCGCATGGCTCAGAGAGAACTTCCAAAGTTCATCTGTTTAGCTTGCTACTCTAATGCAAGTCGATTTCACAGCCCCTACTAAGTCGTCCGACACAAAGAGGAGAGCTTCATCGGCTAAATCACAGACTTGCAGTAATATCCGTGACAGTAACTTCATGCACCATATCATCATGAACTAGGCTTTGAGGTCATCGGACATGGCAGAAGGTATGCAATGGGTAGTTAGTATATCTGAAGTCGCCACCTTGGCAGTTTTGGTCTTTAGCACAACTACCTGTCGACAGAGGACAGAGAGGAAGATAAGTCGGAATTTCTTAAAGACACGGGAGAGATGAGGCAAGAAAGAGAATTGTACCTGCTGATATTCTAGGTCAAAACGTAAATATTCATCCTCACAGCTCTCCACCATGTTGGCCAAACTCTTCAGATTCTTTACAGGCTCGCCATTGAAAGCAAGGACCTAAATCCACATAACAACTCGTAAGTCACTGTGAGACATTTGAAAGCACCAATAACCGTATGTCCAACCAATTTGTAAGAAACCATCCACAACCTGAGTATTGACAATGTCTTCATATCCGATATTTATGTCTGCAACAAGGACCTATCACAATAAACGATAACGTGAAATAGGGAATGAAAGCAAGTGCATCAAGTATATGTTACGACAAGTTACTCGATATGGCAAGTTATCAGAGTAGGGCTGGAGGGAGAAAAGAACCTGAGATACAACAACAAGCTGTTCATTTACGGATTCTGCCATTGAATGAAGAAGCTTGTCCAACAGTTTGACTGGAGCATCAAATTCATAGTCCTTCCCATACTGGAGCAATTAATAAAACAAAACATCAACAATTAAAGTTTGTCCTCATCCACTCAACCAGCTATGGACTCTACTACTTAAAGCACATAAGCACCATAAACTTTTTGCCGCTACTAATTCACAAAATCCACAATGATGCATATCTTAGGTAGCTGGGCATGTTTAATGTTGTGTTCAATTTTCAAATTCAACCATCACATCTCCATTAAGTAAGGAAAGGCATTGAATGGCATGCAAAGAAATAGACGTGTTAAGGTAGAAAAACCTAATCTAGTGAAGCCTGAGCAGATAGTCCGTTATCCCAAACCTAAGAATTGATGATATCATATATCTAAAGCTTTATGCCGGGGAGGCAGCCAGTACTGAAGCCCTCATACAGGATTGACAGAACCCTATAGCAAAAGATTCGCCCAGGTGAGCAACAAAACAGCTACCCAAGAACTTACTCTGACTGGCATTTAGAACTCATAAATTATTCTTGAACATCATCCGCACGAAATCAGGAAATCACTAGCACAGAACAACTATGACAACATTTGTATCCCGAAACTGGCATAAAATAAAGACCCATTCAGGTGTTGTGGGAAACCAAAGGCCAAAAGTAGGGTTATCTCACTATTATGTGCATCTGTGAGTAGCCAGTTTTATGTTGAAAATAGTGCTTTGCAAACCAATACCAGTGAACAGTAGAGAACTAATTGACTAAATTATCTACTGCCATTGACAAACAAAACAGGAATCAACAAAGACCACAATACGTGCAAGACCAGGCAAACAGGCAAATGCAACAACAATTAGATTAAAAAGAAATCATAAATATCTCCAAATGCAGTGTGGAACCAAAATACCATCATCACTAAATCAGATAGATATAGAAAACTGCCACTGATCCATCAAACATACACAGACACACAGAGCCTGTCAGCCACATATGCATTGCACACAAGCCGCACGACCATGCACAGTGTATCTTGTATCGAGAGAGAGAGAGAGAGAGAGAGAGAACAAAATATTCACCTCTGAACGGAGATACGGAACGGATACAGCGGTAAAAACAAATCCAGCGATTATGTAATAAGAAGGTGGTTTCCCACTAATATGTGCAGGGATGAGCCGTTTGTGAGTAGCAAGTTTTATGTCAAATTCAAGAATCTTCGAATTTCGGAGAACTTTCACATGAGCTTTATCCCCAGTGTATTTTTGGGAAACAAGATAACTGAAACCTATGCGCTCTCCATGCCTGAATGGAACTGAGGAGGAGCCAAAGATATGTCAATATATAGCATCAAGGAATAAAGATGCACATCAACGCAAAAGCACAAGGATAAATAGTAAAGACATCTTTAAATCTTAAACCAAGCTGGCAAGCAGAGAGTAATTAGAGTAATCAACTACCACACTTAATGTCATCTTCTTATTGAATTGCACAAAGACATGCATGCTAGCCCATGCATCTTGTGATTGTAAACTTAATTCTTCATTTGCATCAGCGACAGAGTCAGGTGGATCAATTCTGGAAGAAATCAGAGTTTGAGAGATTTACAATGCCCCAGGTACTAAGTATCAGAAACCTGCTATAGTTAAATGAAAATCCAAAGCCAAGACGCTCAAATTACCAGAGGAAACCCTGCTGACATCCTGCTAGGCATATGCCCTAGATTTCACATGATATAAGATGCTGATTGCATTGGAAGTTTTTTCATATAATAGGTCTAGTAAGTCCTATGGTTTCTCAAGGTTTAGGGATACACGAACAATAGCAACAACAATCAGCATTCCAAATCCTGCTCTACAAATGCCAACATAGCAACAGAAGCGTTGCTAAAGTAAGAGAGTGAGAGCAGGGGGTGTATTTACCTGTCCCATCATTAGCAATATTGATCCGATCAAAGCTGAGGATAACATCAGATGGCCTAAGGACATGTGACTCTGGAGCTGTAGGTTCAATTCTCCTAATTCGGACACCTTTCTTATCCAGTTTCATTCCCATAGCCATGCGTAGATCAGGATTTTCCATCTTCTGCCACTCAACTCCAAGAATGGGGAACCCTGACATGAAATGATCAACCATGAAATAGGACATCATGACAAGATCATTTCAAGGGCCACTAGCATCAAGTGCATCCATGCATTTTAACAATTCCAAAGGAAAATCGCAAAAAGGAAGCAGGAAAAATGTTTTTTCCCCCTAAAGCAAACTAGAAAAATATGTTAAAGGCTTTTTTGGAGTTAATTTTCCTATTCTCCAAAATAAATCAGTGGCCAGGGAATAGACTTGGAACATAAACAAGAAGTAAAAAAAATCTCCTTTTTTGTTCCCGGGAACAAAAAGAGAAACAAGGTCATTTTAGAGAAACAAGCTCAGTATAATCTAAACCCTAAATCCTAAACCCACACCCCACACCCTAAGCCCTATGCCCTAGACCCTAGACTAAGCCCTAAGCCATACACCCTACACCCTAAAGCTCAAAAGGTTTGTGCACTTGTCTATTGTAATGCCCAAAGATTTACTGTCAATCTCCTCATATTGTGAGTTATAAACGAATGGAACTCTCTCTTGCCATTTCCAGCCTACCATCTTTGACTAACTATTATGTTAGATTTTCTGAGGCCGTCTTAGAATTTATTGATCAGTTAAGTGCTTATGAAAGTTCAATTTTATCCAAACATGAATTGTTAAGTCATCATTGACATTTTTATAATTAAATGAAAAAAAAAATTGGGAACAAAAATTTTTAGGGTCGTACTAAACATATTTCTATTCTTTTTCTATTCTGGAAATAAAATTTTTTTGCAGTTACCATACGCGTTCTTTTGCTCAAAAACTCGTCCAGGGACTAGAAATTAAAAAAAAAACTATTTCTGAACAGAAATTGTTCCCGGGAACAGAGATGTTACCATATGCACCCTAAAAGGCTAAATGAACAAATTTCTTTCACAATCGTTTATAAAAATTCCAGCTAATGGCACGGCCAGTTTAGAAGCAAAGTACATTCAAAGATAGAAAACAGAAGTACCTGTGTACAACCCATTCTTCTCATAATCATGAATGAAGTGCCTGATGACTGGTGTTGGGATAATATAACCAATATTCTCCACATCTTCATGTTTAAGTGACTGAAATGCAATGCCCACACATTTTCCCTGGTCATTAAATGCAGGGCCACCAGAATTTCCTGAATTTATAGCTGCGTCTATCTGCAGGAGAATCCCACACAAACATGAGGATCCCAGCCATCGCAAGCAAGTAAAAAACAGTTATGACTGTATTGAATAACCTGCACTCCCAGGAGCTCAGTTGACCCATGGGCATAGGAGAGCATCTCCATACGTGACACGACACCACTTGTCACGGATATTGTATCTCCACCGATAGGATAACCCACCACAGTGACAGCATCTTGAAGTGCAGGTAGGTCTCCGAACTCCACAGGCGCAATCCCTTCCCAGAACTCATCATTGTTGACTGTAAGCAATGCTGAAACAATGGCAAGATACAAAGGTCCTTTCAACTCAATGATCTGAAAAGGAAATAGCTTTACTAATTTCTAACAAGCAATCACATTTACGAAAGGGCAGTCAAATTGCAAAGCAATATTTTCTGGTGGTCAGATAAAACAAAACAGCAACTATATTCTCACTTATCTAAACCTACTAATTCAAACTGATAAAAGGATGGATGATAAATTACCAAACCAAATAGCTTATGCTCTTTTTTCTTTTCCCTTTGGGTGTTACAAATGATCTAAATCTGGACACCTTTGCATACTGTTCCCATTAGACATCAAAGATTCACAGATGATGAACACAAGAACCAGTCACACCTATCATCTCCTCAATTACCAGTTCCTCCAGAGTCTTACCAAAATCATACCAACTACACTGGCAAACGAGATAAAGACTACAGGCACGCAAGCATGGCCACATAGAAACCCTCTCCATCACACCCCATGAACGAATTTACACGCACTACGCTACCTTACATATCAAACACTCAATCAACTCAAACCTCATTGGACAATCCTATATCACTTACCGATATCACACTCGGTCCCAATAGCGAGCACAGTGGCCAGATACTTCGTATCAGAGCCACGCTTCTTCACCTTCACCTGAGTGTGGTGCTCCACGGAATGGGCATTGGTCAGCACTCTCCGACCTCCAATAATGAACCCGCTGCTGCTGCTGCTGTACTGCCTCTTACGCTGCCACGGGAGCGAGAAATTCGGCTCCGTATGCACACAGAACACCTTCACCACCGCGTCCATCGCAGGGACAACCCTCGCGACGTTCTCCCACTTCGGCATCGGCATGGGCGACGGCTCCGCCCCATCGAGCTCCAATTCCCTTTCGTCGCCATCGCCGCCGCCGCCGACCGCGACAGCCAAGGAGCAGTCGCCGTTCTGCTCGGCGAAGCGGGAGCTCCGGCGCTCGGGCGACCGGTGCTCCGCCTTCCTCCGGGGCCGCCCCCGGCCGCGGCGGGACGAGGGGGGGTCGGCGTTCATCGTCTTCTCCGCCGCGGCCGCCGAGGCGCCGTCGCTCAACGCAGCCGTCGCCGCGGCGGCGGCGGCGTTGGCGCTGGGATGCTGGTGGTCGGCGGCTTCCGCGGATTCATTGGGCGGAGGCTTGGACGGGCGGCCGCGCTTCCGCTTGTTGTCGACCATGATTTTCCGGCGACGGGAGGGATCCGGCGGCGAGGTACGGTGACCGAGACGGCGACCGAGACGGCGACGGAAATGGGGTTTCAAGGGTTTATGGTCGGAGCAATCTCGGCAAATCGCTAGCGATTGACGATGGCGACGACGCTGGTGGCTCGGAAATGGCAAGAGAGGGCGGTTCAAAGGTAAAGGACGAACGGGTGGAAATGGGCTTGGGCTTGGTCTACGTGGGCCGAAGAGTTGGGCCGACTCTTCGGGCCGAGTGACGTGTTCCCTTGCTTGCATTCCAAGCATCCAGATTAGAGCTCGAGTTTATTCGGGTCGGGTCTGCATGGCACGATACTCGGCTCGGCTCGGCTCGACTCCAATATTCAAGGCTCGAAACTGTGCTCTAGTAAGTATTTAGTAAGCTCGGGCTCAACATTGACTAAAACATTCGGGGCTGGATGCTCAACTCGAGCTCAACTTGACTCGACGATGTCGGTCAATAAACTTTACTCGAGTCAAGTATTTTCAGGTTTGAGCTCGACTCAATTAAGTGCTCGAACTCGAAACGAATCGGGCCGAGTTCAAGTAATTTGCAAGCTGAACTCGAGTAGTTCCCGAGTAGCTTGACTCACTTGTGGTCACGATACGAACGTATAGGGTCATACAATATAATGGTATTCGGCGCAAATAGAAAGTTATGTGAAATTTTTTCTCACAAAAAACAATAGCATCGAGAGGACTGACAAATACTGACACATACAAAAATGCGATTCTAAAAGTGAGAAAACTTCCCTGAGATATTGCCAAACTAATCGATGCAACACGTCCAACTTCAATTTGATATGAATCAAACAAGATTTCACCAAATTTTAGTTAATAATACGTTATAATCACATTCAGCAACCACATAAGAAAACGAAGACCGGCTATCGGAATAAGACCTTTGCATTCTAATGACAACATTGCCAGAAAAGTGCCGCCAGGATATTTCTTATGCAACCAAACAAGAAAATACTACAGTTTCGCCAAATATGACAGCCCTCACGACGTGCATAATCAACATTTTGAAAATCAAATCAAACATTTCCTCGTCGGGGCCGCTCGCTAATAACCCTTACGTCGGTTTTTATCTTCATCCACCAACAAATCAAAAACCCACAACCATCTCTTCCTCTTCACAAGACCATAAACAATAGCAGCAACAGCAACAACAAAAAAAATTACATATATATTGAGTCCTCAACTATACAAGCTTATTACTAATCACTTGGGCCACAAAAGCCCATGCAAAGAATTGAGTACACATCTAACTATATATTACCAATGTAAAGAAAAACGATGCACAAGTACTGTTCCTCTTTAATTTGGCCCTATAGTTATCTATATCCCCTCAAGTACAAATCAAGAATCCGTCCCACGTTCCTGCCTCAAAGCAGCCATCAGGAAGTCATTCCAGACATCGATGGGGCCAGGCAAGCACCAGTGCACGCAGTCATTGTAGCCCTTCATCCACTTGTTCCCCCAGTGCTCGCCGGGATGACCGTCCGGCCTCATCAGCATCGCCCTCGTCACGTCCAGCGCCCCGAACCTCTTCCCTCCCTTCCTCCTCCTCCTCCTCCCCATCCCTCTCGCCCTCTCCACCTCCTCCATCTGCACGTTCCTGAACCCCCACTCGTAGCCCCCCAGGTCGACCTCGCCCTCCCCGTAGGGGCTCGTCAAGGTGCACGCCCCGCCCGTGTCCCACGTCCCGTTCTCGAAGTGCGCTGGCGAGAACGTCCTCAGGAACGTCATGGTGATCCCCCCGCGGCCGTGCTTCTTCTCGCATCGGTTGATGTGGCTGAGCGCGGTGCGGAACGACATGCGCACCGCGTGCTCGGGCCCGTAGGAGGTGACGTTCGGCTCGTTGCAGTAGACGCAGCCCACGAGGCGGTTCTGTTCGTAGAGGTAGATCTTCCGGAAGAACCAGTGTGCCGCGGAGACCACGGCGATGTCCGCGGTGGAGATCTTGTGTGCCCATTCACCGTCCACCTCGTCGAGGTACAGGGAGAAAGTTCCCGTGGATGAGCCGTTGATCACTTCCTCCTTGCCCGTCACGAGGAACTTGGACCACAGGATCTTCAGCGTGAAGTCGTGCCCGCGGAAGTACCACGTCCGGAACCGGTCATCCGAGTCCTTGAAGATGTCGACCGGGGTTTCCGCCTGCAAGAAGTTCGAACAATCTCCAGTCCCTCAATGTTTCAAACTAACGTTTGTCAAAGAAATGGCAACATTCGAAACTGTTCCAATGAATGTGCAAGAAATGAAGGTACTCAAAACAAGATGTTTCCAATCCGAGCAGATAAAAGCTTCACAATTTGTGATTTTACCGTCAAAGAGGATGATGTGTTCTTAGATTGGGATAATGACACAAATGGCCTCTGAACTTTGTCCCAATATGATCCCTAAACTTTTAATTTGTTCAATGTGATCTCTGGACTTAACTTAGTTCTTGAACTATATGAAAATGATCAAAATTGTCCTTCCATTAATTCACGTTCAGGGACAACATCAAACATTTCCATATAGTTCGGGGACTAAAATGGACAAGAACCGAAAGTCGAGGGACCACATTGAACAAATTGAAAGTTCAGGAAGCACATTACACACCACATCGCACACCACATCTTCAACACAGAAAAGTCAACAAGTGATTAGGTGCTTCTCATTAACACTAATCACCCTAATTCCTTAGAGATAATCATACCTACTAATCGAGGGTCATCTGATTATTTCACTCGAAAATCTCTTTCACATTGTATCGGTGCCCTGAGGGCAGATCGAAGAAGAAGACGACCCAGCAAGGAAATTGCCAGCAGCAGCAAACAGCCGTTGACTGGCCATGTGCAGCTCAGGTACAGAAGAAAGGGTGGGCCACCGCTAATTTGGCATCACACAATCATTCAATTCGTCGGACTCAGCCTCGTACGCACTGGCCCGAAAGGCACAAGTCGTAATGGCCCCGAGAATCCTTGTCCCTCTCATCAAAAATCACTTGCATAATCCAAACTTTGACGATGAGTGATCTATTCAACATTGTATCATTAGGGTCATGCACTCCAACCCCTAAATCATCGCTCCATCAATTCATCAAACTCTTTAGGTACACAGCTCACATGCATTTCGGTTGAAGATGGGTTGGGGGGAAATTTTCGTATTTTTGGTACGTGGGGGCAGAAATTCTTTATTAGTGTCATGCTTTCTCTAAGATGACAGTGACAACTCCCTATCACTTGCAAAAATTTTGGACCGCCCGTTTGGCACCCAACTTTTTCCTCTCCTGTTAATCTTGCTTAGCGAAATTTTCATGAACTTTCCATCCCGCCTCGGTGGGAGAAGTTAATACACATAGTCGATAGCAACATATGAAACGCTGAGCAAAGGAAAGCGACATGCACGGTCAGAACATTCCCTAATTACGGATCTTGTCACCAAATTTAGACATGAGATCATTGAGATGGAGTTAAAATCGCTTGTTTCCAACTAAAGTTTTACTTATGGGTCGGGATGATACCGATTCTTCTTCCAAATGCGATGAAAACGCCAGCTTTTGTCGTCGATGATGATCCTAAGCATCGCACTTTATCTCCCTTATCTTTGCTAATGATATTCATTAATTACCAGAGAAGCAATGGAATCAAAATGGGTTCACGCACCGGTCATCATGCACCCCTTTTGGGTGCAATAGCGATTGGCGAAGGAGACTTTTCGTCTTCGACGGCTCTTCGCAGACGCCGCGATGGCGGATCTTGAATTGACCGTGCGTCGCCACGAGACCAGGACGCAAGCGCGAGTTGCACGCATTTCCACTCGTTTGCTTCGCACCCGCGAAAGCAGAAAACTTTTCGAAGGAAAGGACACACAGAAAAATAAAAACATGTGAACCAGCGTGCTTTGATTGGACTGACCTGAGACAGGAGGCAGAGCAGCGACTCCATGTGGTTCCTGGCAACGGAGTCCCCGACAAAGGCGAGGGTCTTCCCCCGCACCATACCCAGGAACGCCCGAGGGTCGAACCTCGGGAGCTCGCACCCGTCGGGCTTCCATCTCCAATTCAGGAAGTCCGTGTCCTTCCTCCCGTGCCGGAAGCAGTTCTTGGAGTCGGGAATCGTGGCGCAGCTCGAATTCGTGTACGAAGAAGAAGATGACCCTCTGAAATCCGGAACCCAGTGTCCTCTGTACAAGTCACAATCTGGAAACGCAAACGGAAACGCAGCATGATCATGAACAAGAACAGTCGCAGACAAGGAAAAAAAAATGATCTTTTTTCCGGTTGGGTCTCATTACCCTGTTGAGGTCTGATGAAGGAGGAGGTGTTTTGGTGGAGGTCGCGCTTGATCATGAGAGGGGATGGGGAGAAGACCATGAAGAGGGTGAAGAGGGTGGCGAGGAGGAGGGCGAAGAAGAGGAAGGGAGGCAGCGCGGCGGTCGCGGCAGCGGCAGCGGCAGCAGAGGCGCCACCATAATTGTGGCACCTGTTGTCCTTTTTGTGGGCTCTGTCTTGGACAAGACATGAAGGTTTCATGATTCTTTCTAGGAGCAGAGACACAGAGAGAGAGAGAGAGAGGCACAGAGAGAGATGTGGGGGAAGATGTTTGATTTCAAGTGAGAGTTTGACACGTTCTAATTTACTCATCTGCAGGAAAAGTGAAGAAACAGGTAAAGAAAAAAGGAAAGAGTTGAATTTGGAAGGGTCTTATTAGCTGTGCACTGCCTAATTATACTTGCCTAATAAATCACGTAATTGGAATCTACTAAATGGGGGGGCCATAACAATAGCTCCTCGTACTAGTATTTTTCTTTTTGGGTTCTCAAGTTTGACATGAGACTTTGAATTTAGTATAGCGCTGCATAGAAGCACGACCGAGTAAAAGGGTACGAATACAACCGCCTGGGGGTTGCCCCAATGGCCACGGCGGGGAGGGGGAGGTGGGGACTCAGGGAAGGCTCGGGGTGGGAACGCACCGTGAGTGAGGGAGTAGGGTTTCGAGACCGGCGTGCAGCACATGGTACATACGGTGGCTTGCAAAATAGAAATAGAAATAGGATAGAATCAGACAAAAAGAGAAGGTACAAATACTACGGCAAAAAAAAAGGGTACAAATGCTACATATAATTTTCCATGGTCTCTCATTGTAATGCCAACTTGTTTCTCGAGTTTTCGGATATCTTGACCGGAAAATAAAAAAGAAAATACGTATAGAGATCGAAATCGATGCCGACAGGGTTCGTATTTCGATCTCCATCGAGATCTTACATATTTCATATTTTTTTAATCAATTGTAAGAATTGAATATCAATTATCGAGTCCAATGTTTTTTTTTTGTCATAGAGGCCGAGTAAAATTGCTAACTTATATCCATGCAATTAGATCCTGGAAACTTACGGGGTTATTTCGTGTAGAACTATCTACCACGCACAAGTCAATTTCTTAACTCCGCGTGTCTAAACCGATTTTCGAACGTGCGGCCCGAACGAGAAAGACTTATAGTCTCTCGTGACGTGCTTTTATTAGATAAGCCGGATGCATGCAAGCTCCGGTACACATAAAAAGGGGGACTAGGCTTAATGATCAAGGACGACAAATTACGCATCGCGATTTAAATTCAAGAAAAAATGACACGGATTGTCACTAAACTTTGGTCCAATGCTCAATACCGTCTCTGAACTTTTAATTTGTTCAATGTGGTCCATAAAATTTAATTCGATACTCAATATGATCCACGAACTTTTAAATATTTTCACAAGGTCTAATAGTTTATGGATTACATTAAACGAATTAAAAGTTTAGAAATGATATTGCACATTATATCTAAGTTTAGGAACCAAATTGCACGTATTAAAATTTCAGGAACAACGTTGCAAGAGAGAGAGAGAGAGAAGAGAAGAGAGAGAGGAGAGGGAGGGTCAAAGGCGCGTTGGAACCGGAAAAGTGCGCTTCGTGTGCAAAGGTGTGCAACGCGGACCGTGGGATGATGAGCACGCGGCGGGGGAGCACTGGTCAAACAGAAGGTGAGAAGATCTGCTTGGGCCTGGCTTGACTTGGCTCGACTCCATCTGGGGGAGGAGGTTCCTTTACCATCACCCCTCGTTTCACGGCGTGATCTGTTCACCTCCTCCTGCTTTTGAAAAACACAAAAAAAAAAAACTTTTTTGTAAATCATACGTTTCTCCATCTTCCTAACCTTGAATTTTATTAATTTATTTTATTATTGTTTTCGTTTTTTTCAATTGAATTCTGGGGGTGGGCCCATTACAGTTTTTTTTTTTGAAGAGACACCCATATAGTAACCCTTCGTGCAAAGTTAAAAAAGGAAGGGGGATTGCACTTGTTGCGCACATTTGATATGATATGTCTCGTTTGATGCACCAATGAGCGATCGCTTTGGAGCAATGATGGGCATCTCTTGCCCCCCTCACGTACGCTATGCTTTTGCTTTCCAATAAAAGGACTTTGCACTGTTTCCGGGATCTGTATTGACGGAAAGAACCGAATTCGCAATCAGCCATGATGACCGAGTCGGTAAAATCTGATGAGGTGCGCATTGATGGAGTCACCCTAAGTCTCTCGGGAGTAATCTCTAGCGTCGGTATGTACGTGTACTCCATGACCGAGCGTGCCGCACACCTTGTTGTTGTTCTTTGGTACAATTAATTTATGTCGATGTTTAAATTGCTCTCTCGGTGATTTGATGTTTCTAATAAATAAACGAGACCTTATGTACCGGATATCGGAGCGCGTAACATTTATCACGAGAGCAATTTCTCGGTGCGAGTTCTCCTTTCCCACCAAACGACCGCTTGGAGATTTAGAAGCGCAATTCCATTGTATTGAACGAGTCAATTGCGCCTTTCACCACTAATGACCAGCGAAAGGAAAGAAAAGAGTTGATGGAGCTGCGATAGGAGACTTTTGGGGGGTGTGGGGAAAAGCCAAGTCAATGTCGAGATCAATCGAGATCTCCGGAGAAATTCAGAATGTAGTGGAATCACTATTTGAAATCATTCTCGAAACGAAATTGAAAAAGCAGATCTTCGCACAAGCCATCGAATGTATAATATGTCTTTTTAAGCGCCCTAATAATTACCCGATGCGCGTAAAACAAGCAATTACGGTTGATCGCATTAGTCTCGGATTATTGGGGTTTCAAAGGGCAATTGTTATAACGAACAAACTGATACATCCGTGATAAATTTACCCTAAATTAATTTTTAAAACACAAAAACTCCAAACCGAGTACACCCGTAACAAATTTTCACAAAAACCCTAAACTGGTGGTGCAGTACGGTCGTGATAACTTTACCCCTCGCTTAATTGAATTAATACCACGAAAAATCACGAATTGATAAACATGTAACTTATACACCTGTTAACTGCCGCGTGTCATCTAACTCGGTAAAATTTAACGAAAATTAACAGAGGATTAATTTATCGTAGGTATATTAGTTTGTGATTTTTTGTGATCAAAAAATTAATTTGAGATAAAATTATCATAAGTGTATCGATTTGAAATTTTTTTATGAAATCAACTGTAAGAAAAAATAAAGCGCAGGGTGTCACTTACCGACATTCTCACGGAGAAAGCAAAAGGGAAGTGACGTTGCGATGTGAATACGCGCGAACCGCTAAATTCGCGGGTCATTTTCCATCGTGGGGGTTTGAGGCGCGGACGGTTCTGGACCGTCCACGTGCGGGACCGAAACAAACTCATTGTGATCAGAGTTTCTTGGTTATTCCTTTAGTAGAAACGGAAGGGACGTCCTCTTTCTAGCTTTAAGATTATTATTATTATTTTTATTATTATTGGGTCTATTTCCTCCCCCTCTTTAGCTTAATGGCACACTCTTTATTATCAATTAATCAAAAGAACATTTTGTGCTAGGCAACAAGATCGATCACCCCAATCACCTTAATTTTTTTTTTATCTCCCATCTCTTTTCTTCACCTCCTATGTTAATCGATAACTGACTAAAACATCCATTCATGCTTGAAAAACAATTAATCATTAATTACGCATACTTTTTCTCTCTCGTGTTTTGTTTCCCATTGCCGCCACCGCTTCTCCCGTCTACTTTCTAAATTACGACCGATTTTGCGACATTTCTAAGTTTGTAACTTTAGCCCATAAAATCTTACTTTGCTTTTATGTGCCTCGTCTTGCTTCATCTGTTGCCTCATCAGATGCCTGTGGGTAGGGATGAGCATGAATTTAGGGTAAAATCGGGAATTTCGGTTCAAAGTTCCCGAGGTTAACGATTAGGTTCCCGATTCCAAAAAAAGTGGAACCAGTACTGTGCAATTTGGTTTCTGGTTCCTAGGTAAGAACTAAATTGAGAATCGAAGAATCGGACCGGGAACCGACGAACTGGACCTGAGTTAACCTTAAATTCTCTTTTTACTCTTGCTAACAATAACAGGCGCTGCCTCTCAAGTCTCACCCGCTTCTCGTCTTATGGTGCTGCCACATATTAATAACAACGGTTAATACCATGAAAAACCTCAAACTGGTACACATGTGATAAATTTACCCCAAATTATTTTTTTGACCACAAAAAATCCAAAACTAGTATACCTGTGATAATTTTATCTCGAACTATTTTTTTGACCACCAAAAACCTCACACTGGTACACCTGTGACAATTTTACCCTGAACTAATTTTTTGACCACAAAAAACTCCAAACTGGTATACCTGTGACAAATTTACCCTCCGTTAATTTCTGTTAAATTTTACTGTCAAATTGCCAAGTTTAATGACTCGTGGTAATTGACAGGTGTACCGATTTTGGGTTTTACCCCTATATTTATCACAAATTTACCAATTTGTGATTTTTTGTGATATTAATCCAATTTAACGGATACTTATGGAGGGTAAATTTATCACAAATGTACTAATTTGGGGTTTTTAGTGGTCAAAAAATTAGTTTGAGATAAAATTATCACAAGTGTACCAGTTTAGGGTTTTTGATGGTAAAAAAAATTATTTGGGGTAAAATTGTGACAGATATACCAGTTTAGGGTTTTTATGGACGAAAAAATAGTTCGGGATAAAATTGTGACAGGTGTACCAGTTTGGAATTTTTTGTGGTATTAATCCTAATAACAAACTAGTACCCACTAACTCAACATTTTATATTGTTTTCTTTTTCTCTATGTCTAGTTTCTCCTGGTTTTGTTCACCTACTGCCTTTTCTATTTGTAGTGAAGATCCCAATCTCTAGTGGAATGCTTTTGAAGTTGGTGTGTAGGGTACAAATTGTTCGAAAAAAGTTAGGTTGTTAGAGAATAATATGGAGACTATAGTTAGTATATTTTTTAACAGATATAAATTTATGAAGTACATACCGAGCACGACGATGTCTTCATCATCTGGCTCAAGGAAAGGGAAGCTCAACCCTTCACTCGGTAGGATGACTATCGCACCATGAGTTGTAGCACTCGTCCAATCACTGTGAGCATGCAGCCAAAGAGCTCTTTTCTTGGTTGTACTGGTTTGTTTCATTTTTATGTTACATGTTTTTAGCCTTTTGTCTTTATTTTTCACGTTCATTTTTTATGGATTGTTGTTATTGACAAGTGGGGATTTTTATTGTTGCCTTCACTTTCATTTTGCTTAACTAAGAATGAAACAAAAAAGGAAGAAAAAAATGAAACAAAAAAAAATTT